TGATACAATTGTCTGTTTTATCTTGTATACGACAGCCTGACTAAACTTACTTAGCTTTAAAAGCTTTTTTCCCCTTCATTCTTGAGATTTTCTTCATAGACAATCACATTCTCTGCAAACAGGAACAGTTTCATTTCTTTGTTAATGATCTGTATGTCTTTTATTTCCTTTTCTTGCCTTATATCTGTGGTTAGAACTTTCAGCACTATGCTGAGTGAAATAGTAAGAACAGATATAACCTTGGTTTGTTCCCAATAGTGGAAGGAAAGCATTCAGTCTTTCACCAATAAGAATACTGTTCCATAGACCAGAATCAGAGTAGATGTTTAAAAACAATTTTTAATTAAAATTAAACTAAATTAAATAAAAAATACTGTTTCACAAACATTAAAATAGCTACTACAAGAAAAAAGGAAAAACATATTTTTGTGGGGTATGGAGAAATTAGAAACTTGCACACTGCTGATGGCAATGTAAAATGGTACAGTTTCAATGAAACACAGCTTGGCAGTTCCTCAAAAACTCAAACATGTAATTACCATCTAAGGAGGCTGAGGCAGAAGAATTGCCTGAACCCAGGAGGTGGAGGTTGTGGTGAGCCGAGATCGCGCCATTGCACTCCAGCCTGGGTAACAAGAGTGAAACTCTGTCTCAAAAAAAAAAAAAAAAAAAGAAAATGTGATATATACATACAATGAAATATTTTTCAGCCTTAAAAAGGAGGGACATTCTGATGGATGTTTTAGGAGCTAAGCCTTGAAAACAGCCAAGTGACATAAGCCAGTCACAAAAGGACAAATATTGTCTGATTCCATTTATGTAAGGTACCTAGAATAGGCAAATTCATATAGACAAAGTAAAACAGAGGTTACCAGGGGCTGGGAGGAGTGGGGATGGGGAGTTATTGTTTAATGGATACACAATTTCTATTTGGGATGATGAAAAACTTCTGGAAAGTGGTGATGGTTGTACACCAGTGTGAACATACTTAATGCCACTGAATAGTGAAAGTTTATAAAACAGTCAATTTTGTGTTATGTATTATTACCAAATTTTTTTTTCAAGAACTGAATGGCGATGTATTTTAAACACTCATATTTTGTTTCTTCTCTCATGTTTCTCCTTTTGCGTGTTTCTTTTCCACAATTCTATGCCACTGTCCATCAGACCCCGGCACCTGCCGCTGCCACGTTTCAGACAATCGTATGGGGAAGCCATTTCAGTCACAGTCACGGAAAGGCTGGCCACAGGACACAACAGAGCAAGGCTTTAAAAATTACTCAAAAAGGGAAGAAAACCCTTGAAAGCCTCAGGCCCACCCTCCCATCCCCAAGGAAGATGCCCCCGGTGGTGGTTTCCTCCCAAGCCTCGCCGCTGTCACAGGGGCCCTCTCCTTTGCCATCGTCTGCCCTGGCATCTCTCGGAAGAAGCTTTCACATCAATCTCTAGAAGCAGAAACAAAACAGTCCCAGCCCTCCCCCCGCCACATCCAAGTATACACGAGGGATAAAATTACATTTGTACAAAAATAGATTTTTTTTTTTTTTACCTTTCCAGATGCTTTAGACATTTTCTCCTATCGTTACTCTCTTATGTATCCGTCATCCTCTCTAAAGTATTAGCTATGCGTCCCAGCTAAGGCATTGCTAAGGATTGGGAACGGCTAAAGCTGTCTGCTCCAAAGCATCTTAAAACAGATGCATCTCCTGCCTTGAGATATTCATTCGAATCCAGATTTCACCAAAGGAGGGCCTTTATGTACTTGCTTACACTAAGCAAATTTATAGGAAAACAGGGGAAACGTCTTGATTAAAAATAAATACGAAACATTGGTAACTGCTCCGCCTCTCCGTGGCCCTGGTGCGCGGCTCTCTCCACACACGTCTGTACAGCACATACATGTTTACACCATACACCTGCGTGGATGGGCACCAGGTCACGCACCCTGACCACAGCGGGGACATCAGCCGGCCACCCACAGGCTGCACATGCCGGCTAGGCCCTCCTGGGTGCCCCACAGGGAAAGGCTTAGGGTCTTCGCCAGCAGGCTGCCGGCCCAGAATTCTTGGGGAACACCGTGACTTGGAACACCAAAGGTCAGGGCTATCTTTCCCAGAGCCTGTGTGCTTCCAGGGTGCACAGGGCTGGTGGCTGACACAGGCCCTAGGATGGAGGGCCCCAGCAGGCCAGCTTCCAAACACACCTGACGAAGCCTAGGGTGGCCTGGCTCTGCGGCATCTTCACTCCTCAGCCTCAGGAGCCCCATCGGAAGGCAAAGCAAGGAGGTGACCAGCTGAGGAACATGCCTGAAGGCGCTGGGGTGCCCTGGTGGCCCAGGAAGCAGCCACTGCGAAGGGGGGCCCGTGGGGAAGCCGCTTCATCCAGCCGGGCCAAGCTGGGAACAGGCCCAGGTGGCTAATGAGCTGATGTTAGTGCTATCTTTAGAAAAGACCTGTGGGGTGTGGCAGGGTGTCCCGAGAGCCTGGTGGGGAAGCACCTGGCTGGGCTCACTGTAGTTCTTGCCACTCAGGCTGCCGCCTCAGGAAAGCCACTGCCCTGGGCCACAGACAAGTAGTAACAGAAATAAGGAGGTGACAACACATCTCTTAGGCAGAGCAGTGACAGGCTGCGCCCCAAAGTCCAAACGGGCCAGGCAGAGAGGGGCAAGAACAGGGCGCAGGCTGAGAAGAGCAGCTGCGTCCAGGTGGGGTGGCCAGACCCGGCGGGCGCGAAGGATGGGCCCGCAGGCCTGTCATTTGGTGTGGGGCTTCCAGCATCTCCATGAGGAAGGTGTCGATGGGCGTGTCCCCAATGAGCTTGAAGAAGAGATGTTCCAGGCGCTTGAGCCCAGTGGAGCGCAGAGCCGGCAGGCGGAGCAAAAGCTTGGCAAGCCTGCCTGCAGCAGGATGACCTGGTCGTCCAGGGGCAGCTCTGAGAAGTGCGGGATGCGCTTGGCCCACTCCATCAGGGTGAAGAGCTGCTTATCGGCTGCTTGGCAGATGTTGGTGACGGGGTGGTTCGGCCAGCTGGGGTTCAGCCCCACGTTGGCCTCCAGGTAGGTCTCGGTCTTGGGCTCCACAGCCAGCTCGGCCTCCAGGATTCTCTCCACGGGCATGTCCTCATTGGCGCTGCTGGTCGACTCCACCTCATTCTCGTCCTTGCCACGCTGCCGCTCCTCCTGCACGGCTTCCTGCTTCATGCCCATGGCCAGGCACTTCTGGTAGCGGCAGTACTGGCACCGGTTCCGCTGCCGCTTGTCAATCAGGCAGCCCTTGTTCTTGCGGCAGGTGTAGGTCAGGTCCTTGCGCACCGTCCACTTGAAGAAGCCCTTGCAGCCCTCACAGCTGTACACGCCGTAGTGCTTGCCTTAGGAGCGGTCCCCGCAGATGGCGCAGATGTGCTTGGTGAAGGATGCCATGTTTCCTGAGGGGTGGGCGGGGACCTTGAGGATGCCACTGAGGCCCAAGGGAGGCTTGATGTCCTCGCTGCTGCTGACGGGGTTCATGGGTGAGCTGAGCTGGGGGCTGCCAGTGCTGAAGCCTAGGGTGGGTGTGGCAGGCACCGACATGGAGTGCGGGCCCATGGGGGAGCTGATGATGGAGAAGGGCGGGCCCATGCCATTGATGGGGGAGCTCAGGGTGCTCATGGGGGAGTGCAGCTGCCCTGGGGACCCGATGCCAGGCCCCAGGGACAGGTGCAGGGAGGGCACGGCCATGGAGCCTCGGCCTGTCGGGGAGGTGAGGGACGAGTTCACCTGGGTGGAGAAATCGAGCGGGAGGAAATGTTTGGTGTCCATGTCTGCCACTAACTCATGCCCGGCCGGCGGTGCAGGCAGCGGGCAGCGGCCGCAGCGCCGCGAGTTGTTGCAAAAGTCGCGCAACAATGTAAACTACTTGTGTCTGCGCGCCGCAGCCGCCGTGCGCGCCTGGCCTACCAAATTTTAAAAAGAATGTTGGCTGTAGATTTTTAGAAGTTTCTCCTTTGTTCCTATTGTACTGAGAGTCTGTTTATAAACGGTTGTTGAATTCTGCCAAACTCATTGCATTAACTGATATAATCATGATTTTTCTTCTTTGGCCTACTGATATGACCAACATTACATGACTTAAATTAAAAAAAAATTTTTTAACTAAATAAAGTTTTGCATTATGTTGTTTTATGGCCTAGAATATGTCTATCTTTGTATATGTTTCCAAAGGCACATGAAAAGAATATGTATTCTGTTATTGGCTGGAATGTCTGCCACTTAAGTTTCATTTCTGCTTGTTCTCTGGGCTTTTTACCTCTGTTTTCTTTTCTTTTTTATCCTTTGATTTCTCATTAAACAATATAATACCTCTTTGTTTAATTTACAACCTTCTCATGGGTTACTCAAACCTTTTTTTTTTTTTAGACAGAGTCTCCCTCTTGTAGTCCAGGCTGGAGTGCAATGGCACAATCTTGGCTCACCGCAACCTCCACCTCCCGGGTTCAAGTGATTCTCCTGGCTCAGCCTCCCCAGTAGCTGAGATGACAGGCATGTGCCACCATGTCCCACTAATTTTTATTTTTTTGTATTTTCAGTAGAGACAGGGGTGTCTCTATGTTAGTCAGGCTGGTCTTGAACTCCCAACCTCAGGTGATCCGCCCGCCTTGGCCTCTCAAAGTGCTGGGACTACAAGCGTGAGCCACCACTCCTGGCCCAAACTTACTTTTTTATAATTCTGTCTTGATTTGCATAAAGTGTTTCTTAGGATATTTCACTGAATAGTTTGTTTGTTTGTTTGTTTTAAGAGAAAGAATCTTGCTCTGTTGTCCAGGCTGGAGTGCAATGGCACCATCTTGGCTCACTGCATCCTCCGCCTCCCGGGTTCAAGCAATTCTTGTGCCTCAGCCTCCTGAGTAGCTGGGATTACAGGCTCTCGCTACCACACCTGGATAATTTTTGTATTTTTAGTAGAGACAGGGTTTCGTCATGTTGGCCAGGCTGCTCTTGAACTTCTGACCTCAGGTGATCCACCTCCCTCAGCCTCCCAAAGTACTGAAATTACAGGCATGAGCCACTGCGCCTGGCCATTGCATAGCTTTTTAAGTGGTTGCTCTAGGTGCTACATTACATACATATAGCTTATCATAATTTACTAGTGTCTCATTTTACCAGTTTGCTTTTTTGGTGTTTTTTTGAGACAGGGTCTCACTTTGACACCTAGGCTTAAGTGTAGCAGCATGATCACAGCTCACTGTAGCCTCAATCTCCCAGTCTAAAGCAATCCTCCCATCTCAGCCTCCCAAGTCGCTGGGACCACAGGTGTGCATCGCCACACATGACTAATTTTTTTTTTTTTTTTTTAAGAGAGTGTCTTACTATGTTGCCCAGGTTGGTCTCAAACTCCTGGGCTCAAGTGATCCTCCTGCCTCAGCCTCATAAAGTGCTGGCATTACAGGGCAAGCCACCATGCCTGGCCCACACATGACAAACACTTCCTAAAGGCCCACCTCTTAATATTATCACATTGGTGATTAAATTTCAACAGATGAATTTTGGGAGACACATTCATACCACAGCAGAGGACTCCAGTGTTTTGTAAATATGAGATCATGCTTTCAGTGAAGAGATCATTTTATTTCTTCCTAATTTGGATGCCTTTTCTTTTTGTTGCCTAATTACTCTGGCTAAAGCTGTCAGTACTATGAAATAGAAGGGGTAAAAGTGGGCATCCTTGCTTTGTTCCTGTTCCTAGGGGAAACGGTTTTAGTCTTTCACCATTAAGAATGATGCTATTGTGAATTTTTCATACATGGCCCTTATCATGTTAAGGGAGTTTTCTTCCATACCTAGTTTACTGAGTGTATTTTTTTTTTTTTTTATCATGAAAGGGTGTTCAATTCTGTCAAATGCTTTTCTACATCAAATAAGATGATCGTGGGTTTTTATCCTATATCATTAATGTGGTATATTACATTACTGATTTTCATTTGTTGAACTATCCTTT